TTTGAAAATCAATTATTCGAGAAAAGGAAAAAAGGTAGCTGTCTCAAGTGAGACACATTTAATGAGGAGGTATCAGTCAATATTGATAAATAAACTGGGCAATTGCTAGAGAAAGAAGTACTGTCATGATTTTTCTACAAGTGTTATTACCTCAAATTTATTTTATTGAGATCAACTTTTTGTATATACGGCAAGAGGTCTAGAGAAAGAAGTCTACAAAACGTCCGGCTAGACAGCGTTTTTACAAGCTTGAAAAACATAACGAGCTAATCAGAACTGTGTATCATTATTGTTCTCATATGAGACTAGAATCCTATTGATCTATCTAATCTATACCATGTTTTCAATCCCTCTCTAAAACGAAAATTTGATGTGAATGGATGCGGTTATTAGAATGTGAAGATCCGTAATATTCTGTAGGTAAAATGAATTTATAATTTCCCATAGAGATAATGGGTGTGCGTATACAATTTGCGCCCGGATATAGTTTCCGGGCAATTCGCTCCCAGGGCAATTAGCTCCCAGGATAATTCGCACCTAAACAATCCGCATCCGGGCAATTCACTTCCAGGACCATTTGCTTCCAGGAAATTCGCTGCCAAGACAATTCACGCCCGGATAATTCGCTCCCTTACAATTAGCGCCCAGATAATTCGCTCCCGGACAATTATTACTCGGAAAACAATAATAATTTTTAAAGACCACCTGACTGGTGTTGAATGTTTTAAATATTATGCACATTCGCTCGGAAGTCACTGCGGAACTATCAACTTTCGGTAATTTCTCATTTCCTCATTAACCTCAGTGCACGTTTCGCCGATAACAAGAACTGATAGTCGGTGCCAAATAAACAGCAAACAGACAACATGCTTTCTTTATGTGTGAATGTGTGTGCCATCAAACTGGCAGGGTATTCGGTATTGTCCTGGGAGCGAATTGTTCGGGAGCGAATTATCAGGGCACGAATTATCCTACAACCAGAATATCGGTTGCGATGTTTTAGTAAGCGTGTCCGGCAACATATTTCTTCCTGCACGTTAACGTTCCTTTAATGGAGATACTAAGGTAATTAAAAAATAATTATATTATGAATGGTTATTGCATGTTTTCTGCGTTACCACCACCACATATGATTTATGAAAACTGAAGAGGTTTTCATCCAGTATGTTCCAGTGTCACTTTAATTTCGAGAACGACTATCAAAATCGTATCCCACCTCCCCCAGTCTGTGGCTGAAGGCGACTTTCGAGTGAAGGCATTTGTCACAATTTTTCTAATTGAGACGTGACCGAAGCGTGTGGAAGAAACTTAAATCTTAGGTACCTATACTTCAACCACCAGAAGCGCGTCTTTCTTTGCGAATTCTGTTTACGTCCGTAAGGTTTTACGATTGAACGCGATGCGACTGTAAAGCATTTAAAATTCTACGTGTCCGCGAGTTGTTTTCAGCTAGCTTCGAGGGAGTCACGTTTTCGAATTGAAACTTACGACATTCTCCGTTCTTTCAGATGTAATTATTTACAAAGTCAACTTATGTCACAGATTTTTACTAGTATATAACAATTATAACACAAAGGGCATCTTTTATGGGAAAGTAAGAACCTCTTGCGATCTAGGGTACCCCAATACACTCACTCTAATTCTCTTTATAATGGAACGCCGCTAAAATACGATCACTTCGCATCTGGGTCTAGCATAAGGTAGCATTCCAATATTGCCAATTGAAAGAAAATGTTTCTAAGGGCGTGTAGTGGATTTGAAACCTGATTTGAAATATTGCACAGTAGAGGGATGTGTAAAGAATGTTGCTTTAAAATTATAATTTAGCGCATTTTTGCAAATTTATTTGTAAAAAGGTAGCTTTTAATCTCACTTTGGCTGGCAAACGTGTACATACTGGACCGTGTTATTGACAACTTCAGGGACGAAATCAAGGCGCTATCCTCGAGCGTGGTGATTGGTAATATACGAGAAAATAAAACACGTTAAGATAAGAACGAGTGTTCAATAACATAAGTAAAAATCGGGTGGGAGGAAAGCATTCTTAGCCAAACTTTCGAGGCGAAACTACGTAACGTAAGCGCGGAAATTTATAGATCGCGTAATATGAAAATCTTCGTTGGACTTTGAAAGTGAAACTATACAAGTCGAAAGCGACATCTTTAGAACGCGTAACATTTATATTCAATTGAAAGTCAAGACGAATTCGTATTATCGAAGAATACGAGTGCGAAAGTTCAAGCTAATTACCATTACATTGAAAAAACTGTGCTGGAATTTTAACGAAATTAGTGTTGGGGTTACTGTTTAAATTCATGACAAGTTTCCATTACAAGTAAGCTATAAGTGACTGGTGGCGGAGTCCACCGGAGAGCTGATATAATTTTCAACCGTAAATGGTGCATAAAACCGTAAGCGAACAGATTCGTCTAGTAGTATTGTCGGATTGACGTGCTCACATTTAATCAAATTGCTACCATGCAAGCGTTTTGATGCCGAAGGTGAAGAACGTTCATTGCGGTCATATTTGGAGCGGTTAGACGATTAAAAAACAAGCTTATCAATCAAAACTGCGCACCTCCCTTGTGTAAACGGGTTGCTATTAGATTTACACGGCAACCGGTAAAAAATTTAAAGACAATTAATTCGTGCTTTGATGCCTGTTAAAACCCTAAGTTATAAGGGTAAATTTTGGAAACTTCCATACTGAGGTGAATAAACTAATAAATTGCGAGAAACCCAAAGCATAGTTTTCAACGAGTAACCGTATTTAACCTGGCGACACAAAAGGTCAGATTATATTGTACAAGGCGTTCCACTATCTAATTTTCCAAACAACCTTTCCGATGGAGAAAATAAAGTGTCGATTAGAGAAAATTTTGACTCCTCGCTAAATGTAAGCTATTTTGAATCTTTTGCATTGCGTAACTGTAGGAGTCGATTTTTTTAAGTCAATTTAACATTCCTGAAGTAGTCGACTCACAGGAGTTCATCCCGTAACCAAATATTTGTATTTTTTATAAGTGAACCCAAACCAAAGATACTGGTAATCTTTAGCGCATTTTTGAAGAATTATAAAAATTTGCTATTGTTTGCGTTTTGTCCATCCGTCCCGTGTATCTGTCCGTCCCGATCTACTTATGCGGTTTTGAACTACTTTTAGGGGAATTGTCTTGAAGTCCTGGAATTTTTTGCTATACATAGGTAGCCTATACCTTGAAGGTGCCAGACGGCCATAAAATTTTGTTGTCCTAACGGGGGCTCTAAGAACTATTTCCTGAGACACTGTTTTTTCAAGATCAACGACTGCCGGAAGGACACGTTAATGGCTTGTATCTTTCATGGTATTCTAATTAAAGGTCTCAACAAATGGAACTGCTATCTGCCAACTACCGCTCTTCTTTCCTACCCCTTATTAAAATAGGGGGTCGAGGAGGGGACTGATTATATACTTATGGTACTGTAATGGAAGGTCTCAGCGTAATTTCTACCAACCATAGTTCTTATCGTGGTCGGACATAACTCCTTATTTTTCAAGAGTGAATTGTCAGAGAAATGTACTCACAAATTAATGATCGCGATATAGGAATTGAAAACTTTAATTTTGTATTAATTGCATGAAATTTTCAAATTTGAAGTGGAGATAAGGAACCAACCTTCCGCAAGGTAAAAGTCATTGAAAATGTATTCATTACGGAGCTGCTCGTGGTACCTATTAATTTTTGAGTTAATTAATTGCGCTCCCTGCATATTTCATTATTTGAAAGATATATAATCCTGCTTTCCCATTTAGTTCGAGTTAATTTTTAGGGCCCTTTTTGAGGTTGTGTTGTGGGCGCGCTGCTCGTGTAAAATATTTTAATAGGTAATGTTAGTGTTCATTTCTGCACCTCTCGAAGAGCTTAATTCAAGTGTAAGCATTTGAGGTATGAAATGTTGTATCACTATTACTCGTATTTGTGCTAACCTTTTATTTGATTTTAATTGTCCTAAGCTACCGCAAAGAGCTCCATAGCTCGCAGATATTGCAGGAATGCCTTTGTGAAAATAATGTGCCCTTTTAATTACAGGAATAATGAGTCTTTAAACTAATCGTGCCATTTCAATTGCTCATTTCAACAACAGGGCACGTATTATTCAAGTAGAGCAATTTCTCGATTTCCCTCCGAGAGAAACTAATGCAATTACTAAAATTCAACAAGCTTGTGTATTAGGAAAAATCGAATTAGTCTGAAAATGCTCTTTATCAGAATTTCCTCCAAATTCTTGATTACATCAATTTTCTTTCAGTAATTAGATATTCAAAGATCAAAGCGTATTATGCCCGCAGCTTAGCAAGAGTTTACAATGATTGATATGCTTGAAGGAGCCTTTAAAAGTACAAGACCGAATAGAATTAAAAGCGCTCATGTGTGCCTTTCACAGCAAACACTGAAACGGCCGATGTTTATGATATAGATATATCCGTATTCTCAACCTATTCCAGCTTCGCGTTTTTCTCAACTTTACATATGCCGATGCTTCTTTAATAGACAAGCCGTATTACTTAAAATACGAATTTCTTAACCAAAATAAAGTCTGTTGACGTTGGTAATGAAACGTACGAACCTTCCGTAATTAATTCACTTGAAAGATTTCCGCAAATGAATTGAGTAATTTATACGATTTCTACGTACGGTTATTGTTGCCCTTTGATATACAAAACATTGACCCTTATAGCCAATCATTTTTTGTAATCGCCTGCTCCGCATGATACTTCGAACCACGTCTACGTTTTTACGCGACTGTTTCTGTACACGCAAATGCCCACGAAGGAACATTCTTCTTCAAGTTATTTTGGTTACCAGAGTCGCACCGCACGAGTGGTATATGCAGGGGTCCTAACCTAACTAACGAAATAAAACCATTCAAATGACTTAAATCGTTATTGAGACATTTGCTGGGACCTTTTTGGTTACACCCCTTCGAGTATTGAATAAGAATCACTAGGCTAATTGTACCTGCTGAAATAGATGTATTTCCGATTTGGGTAACCCAATGACAGCAACTAGGTAAGAGAGGCAGGTGCCGATGCTCAGCATTATGCAGTATCGCAGTCGTAGTGGCAGCGTTACATAAATGAGATAGTCCAGAAGTAGTACCCATCCTAAACCCTCTCGCGATGTTACTTCGTTCTTCTTCAAGAAAATCGACGCTAGTAGTTGTGCGTTAGCAATGTGCCAAGATACGTGTGGTACGGTAAGCCATAAAGGCTGCCTCTCTATACCCTTCTTGCACCAGATCAGTAAGCAGCAGTTGACCACTAAAAACGCACTCATCGTCCCAAAAACTATCATATCTTGACCACTAGGTACCGTTATCATGTAAATGTCGAACAAAATTGCTGTAATTAGGAAGCACTCTAAACCGGCCCGCTTTTGTTTTACACAGTATGCCTGATACAACTTTTCCAGAGCCTGGTCTTTAAAAGAATTCCATAAAAGGCACCTGCCTTGCATTTTATCAACCACGCGGGTATCCAGTTGGTCGCCCATTTTGACTTTGAGTTTTAACTTAAGGGCCGAGTCTTCTCCATCTCATTCCCTTCTCGCATTCCTTTGCACCGGTTCATATAGTTCGATTTCAGTAACAAAGTCCTGTTACCGAAAAGATGTTTTCGTGTATTTGTGAAGTAAACAATCACTCAAAGACGCCTCTCCAATTTTTATTACTCAAGACGCTGCTGGAGTAAACTAATCTCCGCGGTAGGCTTTTAGAGACTGAAAGAAATCCCCAAGGAACGGCAATTTAGGGACGATGTAATTAGAGTTGAAACGTAAAAATAGGCTGCATAATTAGGAGTGAACTTCTAGCACTTGCGACACGTGAGTTAAGGTTCCAGTACATAACCTTAGCGCACGAACCTATCGATCTTATGAGCTTTTTGGCGGACGCGCGTTCGAATCGAATCCGGTGACCGAAGTAAGCTCACTACTACCCGGAGTTGGTTTTCCTGGAACACTTTGCCTAACTTCGATATTAAAATGCAGTGCACGTGCGCGTTGGAACATTTCCAATTAAAATCCAGAGCTAGGAAAAAGTTCTTATAAATACCACTAGAGCTCTTTAAAAAAGCTTCTTCCACCAATATTATGTTTAGTCACGTATGCAAAATTACTTTTCCTGACATGCCTGTCCATTTTTCTTATATTTCCCGTCAATAGCCGAAGAAAATAATGACACGCAGGTCTCTTTTTTCTAGCAAATAGAATTTTAGAGCGTTTTCTAAGTTCAATAATCAAACTTCTACGCTTGGCAAAGCCTCACAGTTCATTATCAACACTCAATGCGCGATAGACTAATTACTGACATTAACACATCTCAAGATACAGTGTATACAACGTGACGAACCTCTAACCTCTCCTATTTTATATTCGTTTATAGTGCTTTTACGGCTGAGATTAATTGCAAATTAAATATAACGCCATTATACCCCATGACCATCAAATTGGAAACTCGACGCGATTTTATATCAGTTTTTCAGATAGTGAGGTTATGACATTGACTTGAATGTACCAATTTACACGTCCAATTCCACACGGTGCACCTACCTGAGAGGTAATATTTAATTAACACGCGATATAAATTTATTTGATTACGTATTTATTATAGGCAACTATGTTTATTGTATAATTTGGGAGTACATTAGGTATGTACCTATACGAATTAAATTTCCTTCGCTTTCTTATAATGAACGTATGCTGTTTGTTGTTATTTTTGTAGTTTTTTTGCAGTCCATTAGTGATTATCTTTTTGTTTTTGGATCTTCTTTTATATACTTTTACGTTCGTATTTGTTTGGCAATTACCTGTGTAAAGGCAGTAAAGGAGGGCTCTACTGTAAACATACTGCATGTCGTAAGAGGCGACTAACCAACGGTCGGTTGATCAAAAACAGATGCTTAAAATAGAGGTTTTAGGGATGGTTGTCAGGTCGCGAGAAATGTATAAGGAAGATTCTATATTGAATGTAATTATTTTATTTTACAGGATTTTGACTTATTACAAAAGGATCTGTTTGCAGGTAACTAAGAGAGTGGAAAATTAATTAATGCTCTTTGAGATGTGATAGAGCTCAGTGTCCGTTCTTGAGGGATCGGAAAATTAATTCGTGTTGTGCCGTAGAAGAGAGCTCATTGCGGGCAACGGAAGAGTAATACCATTAGAACCATTTTAGAGCCCATGTCTCAGTAACCGTGAATTCTGTAATTCCGTTTTAAAACTCTAGTCTAAAAAAAAGAAAACCATCCGCGGTCCGGAGGGCTGTATTTGGTCGAATTCTAGAATAATTACCGCGCGAATTAGCAGTACGGAAGAGTTTGACGTGACACATACATTTACGATAAAAGAACAGCTTTAGTTGTCGCGCATGTAAGTTCATTTGCGATTGTGAAATAGAAAGTAAATTAACCGGTGTATGTTTAAATTTCTTATAACAGTACGAACGGATTTTTCCGACACATAAAGCTGAGTTGAGCGCCGTTTCGACTAATAAAAGGCTCTAATTCGAAAGTGTAGGTTACCCTATTTCGGAATAGAAAAAGAGTCAATTTGTTTTGCCTTTTTTACGCACTAATTATAATTTACCTAAATAGTGAGATCAGACCGTGGATTGATAGCAGACCATAAATAGAAGTTTATTTGCTCAATCATTTCCAATACAACGTTGTAAATATTCAGTCTTGTGATGTATCACTAACGCTAAACTTAACGCGCGTGTTTTGGCAGATAACCTGAACGGTAAGTTTGATTATCTAGAAAAACTTCACCAATAATTTTTCAGAAATTCCAGGTTCCGCTATTTATTACCCTATATTCCAAAAGTACCACATCTAGGAGAAGAGCAGTACATCATTGTCCCAGAGAGAGAGAGACAGTAGATATAGTGGAAAGTAGGTCACTGTGAAGTTCAAAGGTCGCCTGCTCCGCGGCGGTGACGTTGGAAAATAGGTCACGGTGCAAAGGCATTCGCTTTCAAGGTCATCGGAGGTTAATGGCCCTATTTTTATTTTTGAAGTCGTCAAAGTTGAATGATTTCATCTTTGTCATATTTTATTTTATATTCAAGGTCAATGGACTCCATTTTTATGGTGTCAGATTTTATTTGCAAGGTTATTACGATTAGACCTCCAATTCTTTGCGGTGTCATATTATCTTTCAAGATCGTAATCAATTACTTCATTTTCTTCATTTTAAAGTCAATGAGAGGTCAATATATTTCATTTTCAATGGCAACTAAAATCAATGACCCCATTTTTTGTGGTGTCTTATTTCACCTTCAAAATTATCAGAGGTTAATGGTCCCATTTTTAGCTTCCTAGCATGTGCTAGGTAGCTATTGCGATAGCCGTTTTTTGAACATTTCAAAATTTCATCAAATGTCGACGTTTTAGACCATTTTAAGCAACTTTTAAAGAATAAAATTTTTTTCCGTCTGTATGTACGTACGTACGTACGTTTTGTTGGCAATTTTCTGAGAAAACGGCTCGACGGATTTTGTTGAAATTTTGTATATATGTTTTAGGCATACCGAAGAAAAATAACGGGCCGGATTTTTGAAAAAAAATTTTGGAGCGCCGTAACGGCATCGAACTTTTTTTTCAAATAGCAACCTAAAATTTTTATTCTATTATTTGGAAGACCTTTTTTTCCTGTGTACAACCTACAAAAAATTGGGCCGGGTTATATTATCAAAAAACGGAGAAAAAAATTGTCAAAGTCAAAAAATTGTGTTGCATATGTGCAAAACGCAACGATCTTATTTATGGAACAATTTTAACGAAATTTAGATGGTAGGTCCTTTTAATAAAAGCTAACAAAATGCATGCGCAAAAAATAGTGTCGCGCATGTGCAACATCCAACTTTCTTATTTATGGAGCAATTTTAACGAAATTTGGATGGTAGGTCCCTCTAATAAAAGCAAACAAAATGCATGCGTAAAAAAACATATGTTGGCAATTTTTGGTTTCAGCTAGGAAGCTATTCTGTCAAGAATTTGACACCTGGTTTTAGGTCACGGTAAGGTTTAAAGGCTATTCGCCTTGACCTTGCAAAGTGGGTCAAGGTGAAACTCTGAGGTCAGTTCTGTCGTTCACATCTAACGAATTCCTTCCTCTCTGGTGCTTCGGAAAATGAGTCTAAGCCTTGTTCGATGGGTAGTTGGCTTCTACAAACCGTTCCTTTTTTTCAGATGTCAGGCGGAAAGTAGGTCACCATTAAGTCCCGCAAGAATCTGAGAGTTTAATTGCACGATGAATGATGAACTTATTGGCAACGGGGTACCAGGACAAACATTTTTGTCCCTACGTCTGGAAAAATACAATGTGTGGCTCGGTTCAATTAAATTATTAACAAAAAGATACAATATGTATATGATTAACAAGAACAATAATAATCTTAAGAAGTACCACCAAAATTTCTTACCCTTCTCTGTACCACCGCAGATGCCTCTACAATTTTGATTTCAAGGCAAATTTCTTGAATTTCACTGTTTGGCGTTCTTTCTTCGCTCGGCGCCTTTTTTTATTAATCACCTCATTTGATCTACCACGGGAATTAAAGAATGTATTGTTACAAATTTGTAGTGATGCGTTACAATTCGCTGGAGGAGGGGGGGGGGGGATGGTCTTTGATCAGTTGAAGAATCAAGATTCTATATCAATCATACTGAAGTAATCTTGCGAGAGATTTGTGGGAAAGAGAAATGGTGGGTAGCATATCTTTTTTAAATATCTTTCAAGGTTAATTTTCAGCCGGACACGGAATCAAGGGTAGCAAACACAGGTACTGAGTTTTAACTGAGTTACAGTAATCAGAGCAATAGTTAATCGGCCCAGAAGTTGATTCGCAGGTACGATCTTGGGTACCAGTGTGCTGATGATTATACTACGAATGCTTTTATGGCACGTTGGGCACCTTTTAAAATAAAAATATCCGTGTTTGCTTTTCTAAAGCTCTTACAACTTTCTCCGTAACTTAAAGTTCTCTTCGAAAAATAAAACGAGAGGGAGCGAGGGGTGTTCTATTAGATACCCTGATTGGAAAGACCCCTTACAAAAAACTCGTGCCTATTAATTTCCATAATTAGTGCCTACGTTACATACTTACGTAAGATCATATTCTCATTCCATAAATTCAATTAGAATGGTAAATTTTTCTCTGAGAACTTCGCGACAGATGCAGTTAATTAAATAGATTTGCTTGAATATCCGAATTAATTCCAATTTAATTAGGAATCAGCTTTCGGAGTCCAAGTATAATGCCATCAGATCAATAATACCCTCGCCTATGAAGCAACAAACTTGTGTTTTGTGTGATCGTATAAGTATCGTTATTCAATTGTTCGAGTAATTGATAATTTGAAATTACGAACGTACGTTCCATTCAACAAACTCCCTTATTGAATGTAAGTTTTGGCAAAAAAGGGATAGGTATTAGGTAATCGATTTATTAATTATCAAAAGCAGATCTTACAGTGACGTAAAGGAAAACAAATCAGATTTTGAGATGGTTTAGCTTCTTGTTACAGATGCTAACTAAAAGTGGCAGGTACATTATTTACATATCAATTTTTTTTCTAAACTGGCTAAATCAAAATCAGTCTCTTGCATTTTGCTAACGAAAAAGGTAACAACAAAGAATGACATGCTAACAAAGTTCCAGAAGCTTTGAATGATTACAAATGACTCCGTAGAGTCTACTTTGGTTTCCATTACGATGGGTAAAGTATTTGGTAAATCGAATTACAAATATTATATATTTGTAAGAAAACTCTTGAACACAACGGTGATATAGAGGCACTGTAACGAAGCACCTATTTTCCGCTTTGAAGTTCGCATACCCGAAGTTATGAACACACCGTAGGTATATTTGTGGAGTCGTCCAGCTTTGCTAAACACCCGGTTTCTAGAATCGTTTTAAGATGGCACTTCGTTACTAACAGATTGTAGTTTCTAATAGCTATTTGTGTAACAAGTTGCAAATTGACTGTCTTTGGCGCACTAGACATGCATTTGTCCAATGAGCGCAGCGAATTGGAGAAACACGTGGTGTGCACCAAACGCAACATTTGCAACGTGTTGCATGCAAGGTTTTTTGTAATTTCGTCAAGAAATTGATGTGAAATAGGTATTATGATGGGAAGAGAACTTTATTTTAAGATTGAATACACTCATGTATTATCGCAATATACCTAATTCGTTGAAAAGGATAAGCAGTACCTGTCATCTTGGTTTGAAGCTTCCTCGTTTCGCGTCTTTTATGTTTCAATCGCGTTTGGGAACTTTTTGCTAGCAAAATGAACTATTCCGATGAAAATGTGAGTCGTGCAGTGTAACATGTCAACGTGACAGACTGACCTCAAACTTCAAGGAACACTGAATTGCCGAATTTGGAAATTTCATTCCGACTATTTGGCTAAGTATAATTAATCGCAATTAGGTGAATGGGTTACAGTATCAACCTTCGGTTAAGTTGACATTACATCCCTTACGTGCGCTCCTAAAAAACGAAGTTTGACACCGGTCCCATATTTTTCCGATGTCGGGGAAGGGCGTAACTAATTAAAAACACTTAATTTTTTGTTTGTGTTGTTTGTTAAATTTATTTTTGCAACCATACCGTATTTAAATCGTTGATCTTTTGCATTTTAGTGGTTCACCTAAACGTAAAATCTTTATACTTTTGCATCTTTTCCCTTTTGTGTTTCAACCGTATTAAATTTGGATATTTTCTGTAAATTTTAATTTGCATTAAGACCGTTTAATTTTGTTTGGGATTAAGTTTATCGCGCCGTAACTATAGCTTTTGTTTTATCTTGCACAGTAACTTCCACCGTTTCCTTTAATTGTAAGGTAAGGGTTTTTTTGTGACTTTCCATTTCACTTTATAAGGGAGGGATATTGCTCGCTTTCTCAAATTTGCGTTTAAAAACTACGAAAGGCAACTAACTTTGCCAACAACTTAAACGTGAATACGCGTGTCTTTTCAAATTTCAAAACCGCAACGCGACCTCAAAACTGAAAAAAGCGTCTTCCAAGGACCCTAACTCAGCTTCTAACTTTACAAAAAAAAGTGTTTTCAAAGGACTGCAACTCGGCCTCGAAAGTTAGCGACAAAAGGTCTTCAAGGGTACTCCGGTATTTAAACAGACCTTCCTCCTTAGATAGCATTGAAATGTCTTAACCAATTAAGGAACCTTGGTAAATCGATAAGCCATCAACAACTTACGACAGGACACGTGTTTTGGTCACATACACGAATTTGTACTCGGAGTTATCTTATCTTAACTATAACACTACTACAGAAACAAACATTTTTATACGATTAAAAAGCCACCCTTTCTCTAGACAATTACATGAATATTTTACAAAATAAACATAATACCCAATAAATGCGTTTGCGTGAATCAGCAGAAACATGCTTAAAATACCAATTCGGTTGTTCTGCTCAATTTAATTTTCCTTCAATTGATGAATCTGTCAAATGTGTTGTTACAGCATAGTAGAATAAAAGAGTTCATTAAATTCTTTTGAATTTTTTAGCTGTTGAAATAACTTGCGTATCGATGTAAACAGGTTGAGAATAAAGAAATTTCGTGTGGTACAAGTGGGTTTTTGTTCTGTTTTTAAATAAATAATTTACAGGGAAGGTTTCAACCCATTGTGATGAATAAATTGAATTTCAGTAATGTCATAGGCATTCGAATTTTTAGTCTGTAATATTGCTTGACGAGTTTCAGTGGGAATTATTTACCGGAAAGTGCAGCGACTGGAATAGACTTGCAGCTTAAGTACGTATAAACGAAGCAATCAATTCAATTTCAAGTTAAATAGAAAATATTAAAAAAAACATGCTGCAACGCTAAAAGGAAACGAGTAGCGGGGTTTCATATAACTCAGTAATCAATATTTCCACCCAGAACATCATCCTAACCTACCCTACCGCATCCCTAACCCTGCAGCTAGGCTTGAACCAATTCGTGCTTTTCCAGGACATTCTTGCAGCGCTCGCCTTTAATAATGAATTCTTCTATTAAATTCGCTGCATGTAGATGCGGAGAGATGTTACTTCCGTATAAATGACTGGTTTCAACTCCTGAAAGCGAGTTGAAAAGGTACCATAAAACTTTTTCATTCTGCAAATTGAGTTAGTTGAACATGTAATAACGAAGAGTAATCAAAAGGAACTGTTTCTACGTGCGCGGCCGTAGGAAAGTGGCTGCTCGTAATGTAACTAAGAGAACCAAATGTTTTCAAATTCTTTCTTTGAAATTATCGAATAGCCTTAAACTTAAAGCGAACGTATAAGGATCCCTTTGAAGTTCTAAAATATATAAATTTTCTGCAACCCTCGGTCTTTAGACGTTAAATGGATGCATTGCATGTCCATGTACAGTACATTTATTATGACATCGGAAAGTATCAAAGTTATATATTTTCAGTATTATCAAAGTATGCGATACAATACAGTAAAGAATATATGTATGTATGAAACAGAACGAAACTTTAACGCGTACGAGCGTATTTTGATTTATTATTTTGCTAGAAACTGAGCCTGGGTGGAAAGTGTTCAATGCAACATCCCTTTTTTTTAATTAAAATTCTAATATCGGATTGTCTCTTATATAACATATCGGTTTTTCATATATCCTTGATGGAACTATGCGTTTTCAGCAAAAAAAAGGACAGCAGTCTAAGTTGGCACATGAAATTCAATAAACCAACCCTGTCACTACTTTCTAACTTGAACTCTTGCTGAAAGTCGTACATTTTACGTGTTCCCATTTTCTCTATAAACGCAGTCGGACGTGCATTCTATCGGTAAAAAGATTGTCCTTACAAGCTTTTAGGTTGCTTGCACTCATCGACAGAGTGCCGTCAAATACCTCAAAATAAGAGCACTTTAGCGCGCCTGATAACGATAAACAGAGCAAACGGTATCTCAACCGCGAACAGTTGTGTAATTAGTAAATTCTTGCTTGGAGACCTTAGGTTTCCAGATTACCAAATCGTTACAATATTGAAGCATTCCTAAATGACCGAATTTTACTGCCTCGCAATATTCAATCCATATTGCTCCGGCTTTCAATAAAATTTTCAGATAAAATTGGTGCTCGTGTGACCCCATAATTTTTTTTGCAAGTGTATAGTATTGTAGTACATTTGCTACTTGCTATAATGTTAATTAAATTGATAGATCTTTTTCATGTTCTTACGTGGTGGTTCACCTGAATATTGCTAGAGTGAGAAAATTTCACATTTTCCTGTCATGTCTCTTTTGAGTATTAGAAGCAAGAGGAAGTTCCAGGAATTACAATAGAATAACAGGGAG